CTCTTGAAAAATACATCACAAAAAATCTGCAAATCTCTTTGTTGTCTTAGTTCTAGATTTAAATTTAAATTAATACAGTACTTGCTGAACAAAATTAAAATGTTCCTTAACAGTGATGATGTTTTAATTTGCTCACTATCTAATTTTAGATTTGATTTGATTTTTGGTGTTTTAACGCCACTTTTAAGCACCGCTTTTGGGCTATTTCGTGGCGACCAGTTTTTATTGGTGGAGGAAGCCGGAGTGCCCGGAAAAAAACCACCGACCTTCGATAGGAAAACTGACAATCCTAGTCAATTAAGATTGGAGTCGAGTGCACCCGCACGAACGGGGTTCGAACTCACAACCTCAGTGTTGACTGGCTAGTGATTACAGTAGTAACTACTTAGACCACTCGGCCACCGTGGCCCCTCTAATTTTAGAAATTAGGGAAATGTGGTCTTAAAAGAAACACAACTCTTACATTCTACATGTAAATATATAGAGATCTTGTCTAGAAGAACGTTTACGACGTTTACGATCTATTTATAGTGACTAAGATAGAAATGACAATAAGCAGGGTCAACTCGTACAAAGAAAGACAATTTCAAAATAATAAACACAAATTTAAAATAAAAATGAACAACACCATTTTCGTGACTATATTCTCCATCAAGAGGAAATATTTGTTGTGTAACAACAGAGACAATAATTTGAATAATTTAATTTCAGCTATACTGACTCTTTGGTTTTATACTAAAGTTTCTCGTTTAACCCTCATTTGAATAAGTAGCTTCATAAAGATGTTTCATTATATCATTTCTATTCTAAGCAAAAATAAGAAGGATCCTTACAAAATAAAAATTTGAACTTTATGATTCATATAAGAAATTTGAAATTCAATATCCGAAATAGCCAGACATGCAATTTTTTTTACAGCTTTGTTCTAACATCTATATTGTGCTGTTACACCATAGTCCCATGTTAAAGAATTATGGTTCAGCAGCCACAAATATGATTTCTCCAACCATATTCTGCTTTTGTCTGTCCTAATTCAGGGGCCTACGTCTTGAGCATGGTTGGAATTTGTTGCCGCCTGTCATATAATTACTTTCATTGAATGTTTTAAGCTTGATCAGGCCGTTTTTTTTTCCTGTTGTATTGTTTCACATTTTGGTATTTAGGGCCTTTTATAGATTACGATATGGGCCATTTTGACGTATTGTGGTTTGTAACTTTTTACATCCTTGTCATTTGGCCTTTGATAGTTTCGAATTTCTATGGACAATCATACCACATCTCCTCATTTGTATAATTATGATAGCAGCATATATACTGCAGATTTTGAACTGCACAAACTATATCTTATTTTCTGCATAGCATGCATAATTTGGACGACCATGGTTACCATTTTAGTCAGCGCACCAGTGCTGACATAAAATATCATTGGTGCAGTTATTTTCTGTAAATTTACTAAAGGTTTAAATCATTCGAAACACTGTTTGAGTCTTACATAAGGTATAGACGACCTTGTGTATAATTAAACAAATCAAACATGTTTTTATCAGTTTTAAAGACAGTGGTTAAACATCCTTTGTAATTCTACATTAATTATTCATCTAGGCATACGAGTACGCTTTAATCCAACACAAGCGTTCAACCTAGAAACATAAATATTCGTTTAATGATTACAGGAACAATCCTTTTGCATGATGTGTATGTTAACAATATTGTACATGCTAGATATTGAGACTCTTTAAACTATTGTGACAACTATCAACAAATGATAATTCCAAATACATAATTGTTTTGTAAATTGAAACTACATGTACTTTGCTATTAGCTATTTACTTAATTAATAGATTAAATAAAGTATCTCTTTATATTAGTTATTGAATATATAGGGAGAATATCTTCAACAAACAAAAATATTCACCTTAATATGATACCTATTTTTATCGATATTTCAATTTCATATATTGTATAAGATCTTCACCGATCCAAACACTCGTGTTCTACCTTTCAGTTATAATATTTATAAAGAATATAAGATACTAGGCCGTTTAAATATAAAGAATAGAGAATGAAGGGCATTTTTTTTTAAGAATAGAGAAAAATTGTCAATTTCTTATTTTAAAAGGAAATGGAAACCCCTCTCCCCATCAAGATCCTCGTGTAATTGCACAGGAGTATTCTTTTATAACGGTCTCAAGGTTACTTAATATTCTTGATTAATAAAGTTGCAGTGAAACATTCAATAAATATCAAATAGGTAGCATATAACAAATATTGTCACGAGTTGTTATCATATTTGAAGAAATCGCGGGTTAAATGAAAACAAAGGAAAACTTTAATAAAGGCAAAACCACACGTTCTTCTACGTCTAATTCGTTTTTACCTGAAAAAAATGGATAATTAACTGAAATGAAAAGAAATACTAGATGCCTGAAAAACAATTAGGAAAAACATTGTATTTCATCCCTTATCTTATTTCCGATTGAAAGTAAATGTTATATCGATGAACATTAGAAATAGTAAGCCAGATACAATATTACAATTTCCCTGTAAAGTATAAGCTAACCCATATGTGATTTCTAGTATATTTTTTCCAAACTTTAAGAAGCAAAAAAAAAAACAAGTGAAATATATTCCAGGAAGGTTCTTATTTTGAAAATGCTCATATAACTTTCCGATAGAAGTTATCAAAGGGAAGTAATCTCTTTTTTGAAACTATCTTTGTTAACTGGAAACCTGGCAAATTGATTTTGAGCAGTTCTAAAAAAAAAACTAATTAAAATCAAAATTTTTTTTTTCGAGTTTTACAAACATGTACTTTGATTGATCTGGATAAGGCCCGGAAGCATCCCTTTGTATGTATTTAGCAAGTATTTCATGTTCATGTAGCACTGATAAGATATCGTTGAATCATACCCACGTTATCCCCGTAATGACATAGACTGTTTTTAAGGATGAAACATGTAAACCCTATGGGAAAACTTATAGTGTGCAAGTTATTGTAATCAATCCACAGGTTTGCCTTTGTCCTGAAAGTTCAATTGGTCCATCTCGTATTTGTCCTTAAATTCGGGATTGCCTTCAAGTGTGTTTGCCTCGGTTGTCTACGTGACCTTTTCTCCGTAATTTGACACTCTTTTTTTTCAATTTCGAAACCGTCACTTATATTTTCTTTCTTTTAATTTCTAAAAATAACCTTAAAGGGAGATCTTACTGATAAATAAGACCTTGACCTTGTTTACAGGACTTCAATTGAAAGTAACACGTGCAAATGTTTGAAATAAAAATTCAGAGATATCTCTTGTAAATTGTACAGGTAAGGGAGATTATAAGATACACCCTGAAGGCGATTGCTCGATTAGGTATACTAATTAACACCCATTGTTATGGTTGATACAAAAGGAATAAAGGTAAGATTTCAATCAACTTGGGAGGGGTCTTTCAGCAATTGGATCTTATTTTATAGTAACACAGGAGAAATACCGGCAATTCAAATTCTTTTAATAATATCTTTGTGTAAATTCAATTAGAACAATTAACCATTGATGATATCATTAACAGTTCCTTGACAATTTGGCTATCATACATTTGCGCTAATTAAAGATTACCATTGACTCATTTGGGCCCATTGCTTACGAATAAACTTATTACTTTTATTTTCTAAATCTCGAGAAAAAAAAACTGACTACTCATCATCAACAAATTAATATAGTAGAAATATAATACACTAGAACCATTATTATGTTAAAAATAGTCAGTTTAGATAAAACACTCATCAACGATAATAGGCTTTTAATTTGGTAGACAGACGCGCGTTTCGATTACATGAGACTCACCAGTGGTGCACGAATAAAAAATTTGAATGCCAAATCAAACAAGAAGAGCATTGTAAGGTAAAAATTCTCAAAACGTGCTTAACAATATCAAACGGTATTATTGATAACATTTATGTTTTTAACAAAGGTGAAATGCACTTCCAATTCATGAACAAAACTTTTAAGAGTACAGAAGGTAAAGTAAGCTAAATTATTTTGTAGATAAGTCGCCCACAACACAATCTATTTATCAGCCTCACTCTTAATGGGTTTCTGATGATGTCATTTCCGTTCCCAAAATGTTTCTACACACTTATGTAATATGATATTACGTAAGTTCATATCAGTTCAGAAATCCAAGGCTTGTTTTGAGCTTTAGTAAAAGTTGTTTATTTTGGCATTTGTTTACAAAATTTTCGGGTACTAGTATTCGATTTGAGAAAACATTTTCCGTTAGTTTTACACTATATGATGGAATAACTCGTGAAATTAGCACTTAAATGATTACATTCACTTTGTACTTTTATATTGAATTATATCAAACAGTATAAAGACACTTTAATATAGATCGATCCATTTACAAATCACAGTTAAAGTCCGCCTATTATAATAAAAGCTTTCACTAATAAACTATTTTTTTTCTGAAATCATACTAGTAGAATATTCTTGTTATTCAATACCCTAAACAATCTTTATTTTTTAACAATGGAATCGCTTTTCGTTTTTAATTATACTGCACTGTTTTTTAATCGTGGTAGTAAATTACAAACAGAACCGGAAGTTACAAAAGGGAGAGTATAAAAGATACAGACACAAGATTATTTTACAAAGATGTCGATTGTAATTGAAAACGTTCTTTTATTTGTAAATCATGATAACTAGAACGTGTTCATTACGATACAAAATCATCACAAATAGTATTTCTGCATTCTTGTGAATAGGCTATCACCCAATAGATTTAGAATTTTTAAATTTTGTTTTCTCACGACCAGAATTATTCTAAATATACCTCTTCATTGTATCAAGCAGTTAATAAGTCTCCATTCTTCTTACTAAACAGTAATGCATTTAAGTCACACACTTCCAGTTTGATCTTAACATCATCTTAAAAGGCCGAACGTAAAAACGTAATGTCTTATTCAAAAGTTATTTTCCCTAAATTTTGTCATTGTTAATTCAGAATTGTTAACACAGTTCGCCTGCAGTCAATTGTTCAAGTTGATAACTACTGCACAGATCTTATTGACAGCAAGCAAATGGTCTGTACATACCAAATTTGACGCAGTCTTAGTTGGACAATTGACTGAGATACTGAACATAGCTTAGTATGTATATTTTAGTCTTCAAAGAGCTTATCAGATCAAAATGGCCTTTCAGTTGATTTACTAATGAAACATAAAGTAGTATGTAATAATATTATCTCTTTCTGAAATGTTTTTAATGTACTATTATGTTTACAAAGATATGAAAACACTCCGTTCTTCTTTCTGTTCTGGTCATTACTAATTTGATTAAGCCAATGAAATAGTTGCCTTCAATTTTGGAGGTGTGTATTATTACGACAAAACCAAATGATACCGAAAAGTCAATAAAACAGAAAATAAAATGGAACATTTTTGGACCATTGTAATCGAAGCGTGAACACATTATCTGAATTTCAATCAGATTGATTTCTTTTGCTGTTCATTTTCATGGCATCTGTTGTGAAAGTAGTCCCCGTCTTCCGTGTTTACATGTTTAACTCAAAAGTTAGTTCATACAGACTTCAAAACAGAAGTTACATCACAAAATTAAGGAGTAAAAAGAAAAATTGATACATTTGATACACGAAGATAGATTGATGAAAAACCAAAATGAAGTAATTAAGCAGTTAGGTGGCTGCACGACTAATGTACATCATAAGTTACACACAACTGGAATAACCTCCTACGTCGGACATATCAATTAATTACGGATCTTTTGCACTTATTGATACCATAGTTATCGTCATGAGTTTAAGGTTATACTTTGAGTGGAAACTAAATTTCAATTTGTCTCACGATGGAGGAAACAGTTTGCTGTTTCGGTGTGATTTTTCAACTCCAAGAATAAATTACCTTAGCTTTATTTGGCAAATTCTTTCGTAGTTTTGGGTCCTCAATTCTCTTCAATACCCTGGTATTTGATGGTGTTCATAATTTTGTTTGGTCATGGCATTATCTGTTTTTCGTCAACCTGTTGTAGTTTTAATTATCCACTTGGTATTTTCCTCTTCTTTTAAGTCTGAATCTTCTGGTATAAATTTACCCACTAGACTAATACAATTCAGAAATAAGACTTATCAATAATAACAGTTGTTTCCTTTTAAATCGAGGTATTTGTAAATGGAAGGTACGTCGAACCCAAATACACCTTTTATAACATTACCGAAATGTTAATAGGCTAAATACATTATTTTACTCTTTGACCAGAACAATTCAAAAGGTAAGTGTGTTTGTTTTTTTCTGGTAACGGTCAGTAAATAAATACGAATTGTAATATCATTTGTAGAGTTTCGTCGTTAACAGGGGTACCAAATCGTTTGGTTTTTTTTTCTAGAAGTTTTCTTGTCTAAACCCAATTTATTCCGATATAACAATAAAAGGTCATCAACTGTTTTTCATTTCAACTTATAACATTCACATCAGTGTTATCACTACGATCTCTTCTTTTTTATTTTATTAATCCAGCCACAGCGGACGTTTTATTATATTACAATCGATGATTGGGTTATTTTTTATCTCTGTTATATCGTGATCTATTGTTGATTCTATGGTGCAACCTTGTGTGTTGCAGCTTGTTTAAAGATAGTGAATTCCTGATTGTTGTATATTCCATTTAATTAAAGTACGGAAGCCGACTAGAGCTACTCATCTGCAACTATCAAGGTCCCTGTTGCAACATTTGTAGATATAAAACATCACATTGTTCTTGTACTGTCGGCATTGGTCTGGGGAAAGTTTTATGATGCAAAATGCATGATGTTATCATTTTTTATGATGGCTATAATTAGAAGCCGTATCGTTTATTTTTATCTTTTTTACTTGTATTGGACTCGTAATTTATACAAAAAAACAAAAACAAATAGATGTGAGGTACATTCGTTTGGAAAACCCTTTACAGATAAACTCCAAACCGAAAGTTGTGGAGGCAAATATATATAAAATGATTAGGATCACCAAAACAAAAGGTATCTTAACATGTACTGCCTTTAAGTATACAGAAAAAAAATACTTTCAAATATATATGACAGCTTGCACTGAGCATATATTACTACAAGATATACTCCTCGAAATGAACAATATTTCGTAGGTATGGTATAGTATGATGTTGATAATATTAAAATTTATATTTAAATGTTATATTGGCTTTTGATTTTTGTCGATTGCTCTACACAGGGAAATTTCACTCATGAATTTTACGTGAATTTAAATTCATGTGAATCTCACGTGAAATTCACGTGAATTTCACCTCAAACAAGCTTATACGTAAAACTAACGTGAAATCAGTTCATGTGAGTTTCAAGGGAATCTCATGTGAAACTCAAGTAAATTTCACATGAATTTTAGAAATAAAGTCATTCGAATAACATCTTAATTAACAAATTTAATTAAAATCATGAAAAATACCATTTTTTGTTTTTGTAAAGTTTATGTGAAATTCACGTGAGATTCATGTGAATCTCAATTCACATGAAATTTATATGAAAATTTGCATGTGCGTTTCATGTATAAGCTCGTTTGAGGTGAATATCACGTAAATTTCACATTAGATTCATGTGAAATACATGTGAGCAAAATTTACCTGTGTAGACTTTTACTTAATATGTCTTTAGTTTCGGAAACTAGACATGAACACTAAGATGTTTTAATATATTGGTATTATGTTCGCAATTTAGATATAAAATTAGATTTGCTAAATGCCCGAGGCTTATCGGTTACAAAATGAAAAAAAAATCGTATTTTGATATATCTAAATCTAGTTGGTTGACTTTGTGATATTTACATTAATTGTCTTCAATAAATGTGAAAATGAATTTAATTATACATTTAATCACAGTTTGACTTCCTCAGGCGATCTTACACGAATTTGGCTAGTATAGGTCACCTTTGGTCATACAGCTCTTGACATGTTTAGGTCTTCATCACTGATCTTAACATGATTGGATTCGAGCTTTCTTGATGAAGGAAAACCCAGAACAGCGCTTCGGACGCACGAGATTTATAAAATGTTATTTTTAATTAGTATATATTTTACATATCTATAGTTTTTGTTTTGTTCCAATTTTTATGTTGTAATTCTGCACACAGTCCAAAGATCTCTTCACCATCGGTTGATTTTTGTTCTTCCGAAATTGCATTGTGTTCTGTTTTGATGGCATGGGTCACATTTGTTGATATAGATTTATTACAATTGGCATCGCTTGGCTTCCAATATATTAATTTGGAAAATACCTTACAAATGTACATTAATTGCAACCTTTGTTTTGAAATAAGATCCTATTACATTTATAAATGATTATAGAAAGGACAATATCCGTCCCCTTACATCATAGGAGAGGTTATGGTATGTTATAAAAAAATAATGTACACACCAAAACCATCAGCAATCCATCTAATTCAGATTTTTCACACTTTATATTAACTCGGTGCGATCTTCCGCATAAATATACATTCAAAATGATTTAGATGTTGCAGATCTTTTTACCACCTGTGATTTAGCAGAAAACAAGGCATAGTCTAGAAATTGAGACTTGTTTAAAGTAAGCATAGAGTATATGTCGACAGATGACACATGACACATGAGACAAAACATATTGATTTGATCAAATAGTTAGATGTCAACTGGTAGTACTGTCTACTTTCTTAATTATTGCCAAAACCGTAAGGGAATATTTTTTTGTATTTGCAATAATTCGCTTTACCCTTGCATTTCGCAAGAGTATTGCATGGTATCAAAATATAAGTGTTTACGTTAGTTTACCTAATATGAAATATGGGATAGTTTAGTTATTTAAGATTTGTTTAAATCAATACTTTTTAGATAGGTGTTTTGTAACTATATGACCAGTAAGGATGGGTTACTTCAAGAACTCAGGTATAAACATTGAATTGCAATTTTGAAAGGTGCACACTTATACATATGATGAATATTTAGTACAGCATTTCACCTTCGTCGTCAGTGAAGTGTTAACAAATATTTGCAATGGATAAACGTTCAGTTTGTATAACAGTCATTAAATCACCATTCTGAGTGAACGGGAAAATTAATGAAAGACACAATGTATATATCTATTGAATAAACTCAAAACGCATTTTATTTTATAATCGGAAGCATAAAATATATCAAGTACTGTTTTCATTTTTATAAAGAATAAACATATATATTATTACTTGAACACACGAACCCATGATTATACTAGTAATCTGTTTCCTTGACAACGTTTACATACGCTTTAACAAGTAATTAAGCTGGTTCTAGGAGGTCCCATTGGCGCCATCTGTGCGCCTAATCGGGCAAATGTAGGTTAACAGTTTAAGACTGAAACCAGTGAGTTGTTGTCTAATCTCCAACGATTTAAAGTTAAACTCAAAACTATATGTGCTGGTAACTTTATATTATTTTTCGCTTTCAGTAGTTCAAAATTCTCGGTTTAATATACTTAAATTTATCCATGGGAATGAACAAATCTTGAAATATATTTGTCAATATATCACCTTGCACAATATCACTTCCTTATTTCTAGAGGAAGGAGTAAAATTATTCATCATATTACATGGAAAAAATGATGGCGTTAAAAGCCTAACAAATAGGCAAAAATGACAACTCACTCTGTCTGTGTGGCGAGTTGAGTGGAAGAAAATTTTTGGTAGAACTTTTTCTTCTCGTTTGCCTTTTTTTCAATATATAAAACTGTTTCTGTACATCAAAAGTTTAAAATTAAAGTAGGAGTAAATATAATGAATGTCAATGTTTTTATAACCTTTACCATGCTTTTTTTATTTCAAATCCTCAGCGTGATATAAAACATTAAGAACTGCACCATTAATCCGTATTACGATGTGTTTTCCCTTTCACAGAGAAAGAAGATGGTACCTTACTTAATCCCAACGTAATTACTTCTGGAAAACCTTACCAGTGTTATGATGTTACATGTGTTTATTGAAGATACCGTACAATACGGCTTTAAATAGGTGATAAATTAACAATTAGGTGATATTAATTCAATGTAAATAATTGCATTTTCCTGTAGCTTTCATTTTTTGTAGTTTTAGGCTTATTCTTTCACATAAGCTTTATATTTAGC